TTTTGCGTCACACATTTTGTTGGTTTAGTAATAATATTATATACCTATTTATTATTATTATTATTTTTTTTTTTTTTTTTGTACCAAACAACTCAATATATAATAATTTAGAATAATTTTATTTATTTTTTTTTTAAATTTACAATAATTTTCCCTTGGTACAGGTATCTTTTAATACTATTACACTATAAAATTATATACTCACATTATTGCCAAGAAGACTCGCAACGCGGGTACCTATATAAAATATATAATAATACTCGTATATACGACGAGGAAAAAAAAAAAAAAACGTTTCATTATCGTGTTATTTTATCACCTCTTTTTTTTTCCGATTGCGTAATTATGTCAACAGAGCCGTACAACTTGCAGTTTGACAACTATAGGTACCTAATATTATACTGTTTTAACGACAGAAATACATTTTTTTTTATATAGGTATAAAAAGACTCGCGAAACGTTCGAATTGATTGGTAATAATAATAAAAAAAAAAATTTTTTTTTTTTTTTTTACATTATCAACGTTCACGCTATTTTATCTATATAGAAATAATAGAAAATAGGTAGTATTATAATATTTCGTGTCCTGTATACCTATCTATCTATATATTATATCGTATAATATTTTGGTTACCGTCGTTTTAAAAGTTTTTATGAATAAACGAAAACGGTTTTTAATACGCACAGCGTAAGTGGAATAAGTTAACCTCGCGTTTTACAATCATCTAAAGAGTCGATTCGTTATCAAATATAATATACAATAAATCGTAACATTTTTAGTAATTAATATTTCAAAAGCCGCGAATGAGAGGTTATTGCCTAAACTTTATCATCCGCGAATAAACCGTGTAATAGGTATTTTATGTCTAAACCCGAATGTCAAGGTCTTTTTGTTCGTTTTACGTGAATTAATTTTTGTAATATCGCTTGTTAGAAAAACCAGGTACGGAAAACGCCGCTGTGACCTCTTGACGTTCAGAATAAAAAAAAAAAAAAATATACCGGTATATTGTATTGTAATTTATACTTTACCTGACGTATTATTAAATGCACTTATAGAATATTGTTTAAATGTAACGTGAACAAATCGTAACTGAAAGAGAATGCAATTTATGCAAAACAATACAATTTTATATTTCAAAATCGAGAGTTTTACAACGTTTTCACTTAAATATTATCACCGTACGGTACAAATACTAAAATTTAACGTGTATTTTTATACATTAATCAATTATAAACCATCAACCAGCGGTGACGTTTAAAACGATTTATGTAAATTATAATATATATATATATATATTTAGGACCCGTTGTGCAGATGCAGGAATTCGTCCTCCTGTACAGGTCCAATCATATATCACAGCCGATGAAATCCGCCGAATATAATAATACAATCAATGCACTACGACTAACATTTACCCTCAACTCTATAATACTGCGGTATCTTTATCGTATATTACCATAAACACGTCATTATAATATTTAAAACGAGTTCAAATGTTTCGCACTTTGATTTAAGAGCACGCGTTCTCAGATCCGTGTGTGCAAAGAGGAGTGGCGGTGCATGGTTAATACGCCGCGTGCCGTACCGCCACATAAATGATACTTATTGGAGTTCTCGAAAAAAAAAAAAAAAAAACACATTTCGAAAAAAGTCAATACTTTTTGAAATAATGAGTGTTGTTTGATAAAAAAAAATCATCCTGTGTATATATATACCTATTGAATATTTTGGAACGAAATTCGGGATCGTTTTAACGCTACAGTGATAAAATCCTTCAAGCTCCCACGTGTAGTTAGTCGAGTGGTAAAAATAATGCTTTTTCGACGTGATGGTTTTTCAATGCACGAGGAAAGTTGTATAATCATCCGCGGCAGAATACTTTGATGGTGCGTGTAACACCGTCCAGTGGTCTCGAAAGTGTACTCTACCTTGCAGCTTAATTCCGGCCCTATATATTACACGGCAATAAAATTAACGTTTTTTTTTTTTTTTTTTTGTTTTCGTCAAACATTTCCAAACGGTTTTCACGTACCTCCGATACCGCCGATACCGTAGGACAGGCACCGCGAATCCGACGACGTCCTCGCGGGGCCTTGACTATAAAACACAGAAAACGGTGCGCGGAAAAGAAGAGACCGCGCGCGGTGTTTTGACTTGGGCATACGCGCGGCGGCGGCGGCGGTCGATTAATTATTAAAAAACATGTTGAATGGAAAACGCGGTAATAAAAAAAAAAAAAAAAAAAACAAAATACAAAAATACTCGCGTAATAATATAACATTAGGTACCTATATCTATAGGATATATATGTGTGTATACGGATATACACCACGGGTAATTGTATACGAAAACGGAGATTCGATTGTGTTCGGCGGGTTTACATCACGTCCGTTTTGTCAGGCGCTCGTGGGCGGAACGACCGTCGCGTAGCGGCGCGTTCTAAAAACGCCCGGGTGTCTCTCCCCCTTTGCCTTCCCCCCTCCCCGATCGCGTTTGTATACTTGCGCGTGCGCGCGCGTGTGTGCCCATTGTTTTCCGGCGCGGGCCGGAGACGGCGGCGGGACCACGTAATAACCGCCGGCATATCCGCCAAAAAAAAAAAAATTAATGTAACGTCTCTTTCTACGCGCCGCGTATACATAACATTATGTTAGGTTAGGCGTATTTGTGTATGGGTATTATTATTGTTATTAATGTGAACGTGCAGGTGACGCTCTCTGGTCGTCCGTTCCGGGGGCCTTGTACACCAACCCCGCGGCACGTACTTACGCCGTGCGAGGGTACGGCCCCCGCCCGCGGTCTTCGGACGCCACGACGGGTTGATGTCCGGGTGACCTCTCACGGCCGCGGACGATATCCGGCGGCGTCCGCGGCCGGCTGCGGGCACGCCGGAAAAATCGTCACCGGGTTCCGGATGCGTCGCGACGGTGTCGGTGCCGAGAAACGTTTTTCGAGAATAGCCAGTGGGAGAGACGTGACCCAGCCGGCCCCACTTTGGGCGCCTATGTGGACGGGATATTTCGAAACGGCTATATGGACACTCGATACCCTATAGATACATCGATTACAGCATCGCAATACGAGATACGCGGGAGGGGGGGGGAGAGTAAAACTCTGTAGGGCGGTGGCCCCCGAATGAACAAAAAAAAAAAAAAAAGAACAGACAGAAAAACGTTATAAAATTACGAGCGATTAAATCAGCATTCGTTTCAAGTCGATTATTCGTGCGGCTCTCTTCGACGTTTGATTTCTCGTCTAACCGCCGAACGCGCGCAATTTCGTAGAACTAAGGCTCCCACCTCCCCCCGAAATCGTTATCGGATTGCAGCCCCGGACCGCCATGATAATTGCGTCAATTCGGCCCAGAAGACCTGTATATTATTATTGTGCACATTGTTTGTTCTCGGCAAAATGACGTGTATATTATTATAATGGCATTATGATGCGCACGCCGCCGCGTCATCGTTGTTTTCACATCGGAAATCCTACGCGCATATTATTGTAATGTGTGAACGTTTCAATTATCGTCTCGAGACGGGACGACAGCGCGCGGCGGCAACGCGCGAGACCGGGCCGCGGAAGAGACGGGCAAAAACTAAATAATAAAAAAAAAAAAAAAAAAAAAAAAAAAAAAAAAAAAAAAAATCGATTTTCTAAACGAAAACCCCCTACCGCCCGCGAAATGGACGAAAAATCGCGTTTTTCCGGTCAAATTTGAATTTACCTCCGTCGTTTGGTTCGATATTCACCCCCGCACCGACGGCACGAACGATTTTGAATAGCGTGCAGATATGATAAAAATAATTTTTTTAAAAAAACGTATTACCCTTGTTATTGTACAATATTATATACTTACGAGTCTGTATAATATGCTCTATGAGCACAAAACCATACCGAACACGCGTATATTATATTATGTTAATCAGTCTGCGAATAAATTATAATCCTAAATTGAAATAAAAAAAAGACGTTGAATTGACGTAGTTAAAAAAAAAAAAACACAAAATTCAATATCCGTCTCGAATCAGTATATACGTGGATTTTTAAAATCCAAAATCGTCATTTTTGATTTTTGATTTTTTACTAATTATCAAACTGTACCGGCTTGTGCTTAATGCTCGCGACGATAAATATATAAAACACAATATACGCGTTCGTCAGCCGAGAACTGGTTTCCGATATAATGAAACTATCGTCCCACGATTTTTTTTTTTTTTTTTGGAAAGTGCAACTAGTTCAGTAGGTCGCGCGAGATCGCATCATGATAAACGCGTTTACTCACAATCTATACCGACGAAGTACACCGGCAAAAGGTTAACGGATTCACGCGGCCTTTACGGCTCGATCCGTGTGCCATGTGCCGTTTGCGCAAAAGAGGAATGTATGACCGACACCGGAGTACCTTCACGTCATAATAATCACCTACATTTGATTATATTACAGGTCCACACAAAATGCCGACACTACTGATGGGTGTTGGAAGGCAGAATATACGTGTCGGGTAATTTAATTTATACCTGTACGCGCGATGATTGCAAACGAAAAGCGATTCCGAGTATTGATGGTTGTATTTTTCCGCATGCCGCCGGGGTGATCTGCGAGAAATCAACGGAAACCGCCAGTTTATTGCCGTTTGTTGAGAAAACTGTACTTACAAAATCGACGTACCAGTCACACCACTCGGTGTGTAACGCATCGACTACGTGAATGAAAAACGCTACGAAAAGAGGTTCCCCGACCAAGTTTACTCACGGTCGGATCAAAAAAAAACACGCGTTATAATAATCACTGTATAGTAAAACCAACGCATTCATCGCTACGCTCAGAATCTGAAAACCTATAATTTTTACAACGTCGACGGCACACGTTATTATTAATCGCGCTCCGGTTTGTTTTTCGACCTCGACCACCGTGCAATTGTCGCAACCGTGAGCTCGCGTACCGGGACAATTTTTTTTTTTTTTTTTCTGTAATCGTTCGAGCCGGCGAGAAGAACACTAGGCACACAAGTTGAAATAAACCGCTTTCGCCGGCGTAATAATAATAATAACGTATAAAGTGGACAATATTTCTCTGCCACGTGTTATAATTTGAAACGAACGAAAAAAAAAACCTACAACACTATACACACACACACACACACACACACACACACACATATATATATAGGTACACACATTTTGTATATTATAATAACGCGAAAAGGCAACAAACTGTTTTCTTTTTAACCGTAGCAATTTAGTTCTCCCCTTATATAATTTTACGTTTCTTTTTTTTTCCCCCCTCGTTTCCACCCGCGGTACCCCTCGAATAAATTAAACCGAACGTGTGCTCTACCGCCGTGCGGTAAAGGCCTACGCATATTATAATAATATATTACGTAGACGGGAATGGTGCGGGGGGGAAGGTTATTTTCATTTTTTTTAAAGACTTTGGGGAATTGTATAACACGCCGGCTTGCCGCGATACTTACGTGCGGCTCGGCGCTGCCTCGCCGCCAGGAACGGAGTGGAAAATTATTATTGTCGTAATGATTTTACAACGCCCAGACGTCGCCCAGGACGAGTCGGTCCGGGCCCGCGAGATCCGCGAAAATTATCGCCGAGCATTTATCTCCGCCGCGGCACCGTACTCCTCCCGCTCATCCGCCTCCTCATCCGGCTCGCTCGACAACAACAACAACAAAAACAACAACAACTACTCGTTTGTCGGATCTCTTCCCGCGCCGCTATAACTAAAGTCGACCCCTTTTTTTTTTTTTTGTCTTTTTTACCCCGATTTTTTTTTCCGATCCGTTTTCGCGAGACGCCCGCGCGGTTTTTGTCGGTCACCCCGGGCCGCGAAATTTTAGAACGATCCGTTTCGGACCGCGAATAGGGCGGTGTAAAAAAAAAAATAAAATAATAATAATAAATCCGATTTCGCATTGTATCGTATCCGCGGTTCAACGGCGGCACGTTGTGCATTATACGCGTATATACGCGCGCAGACCTATTGTATCGCGTCCATCGGTTATTATTACGTTTTATTATTATTTCGGGATTTTTTTTTTTTTCGTCGTATATATCCACGTGCAGCAGTCGGGTGCCGTACACAACATAATATACGTGTGCCGCACGCAGTTAAGCCCCCCATTGTTTGCGGACCTTTCGGACGCGCAGAGCCGCGGACCCTCCGCCGCAGTCACTACGCCTCCGACGCGTCGACGGCGTGCGTCCCCCTGCGGAAACGAAACAAAAAAAAAAAAAAAACCCCCGAAAAAATCCGAAAATAAACAACAAAATGTAACGCGTTTTTTTTCTTTTTTTTTTTTTTTTCGAAAAACCAGCGTGCGCGACATAATAGAATAAGGCTGCGGCGCGATCGGATACGGACGCTTTGCGTTTTTCACGCCGAGCACCGGAATACTGAAGACGCGCGGTCGCCGGACTTTTTTACGCGTCACGACATAAAACGCGTATCATCCCCGTACGTTCGTCGCGTATTTTTTCCGTCGGCTCAATCCAGGCCATTTAGGCCCGTTTCCGCTTTCAAATTCTGCCTCCGTACGCGTCTCTATGATTCGCCTGCAGCTCTTCACCGTTCAACACTCCTGATAATCCAAGGTCCTTTGTTCGACTCGGTGTTCCCTTTCTCTCAGTCGGCTTTTATTCAGTTTCCGTTGGAAAATTTACCCGGAACACCGACAACATTAACCATATATTTCGGTATAATTATTCGCGTTTTATGCTTTCGGAAACGAATCTCCGAAAGAATACAGAAAATATCGCACCGCGGCATCCTAGGTACTAAAAATTACCAACAAATCATTGGGTAAGTTACAATTAATGTAAATCATTCGAACGAGTAGCAAAATTAACTTTAATTTTACATAATATGTTCCGGTTGTTTTTTAATTTGTCCAGTAATAAATAACAAAATTATGTAAAAATGATTTACTTTGTGCATGTTAAAATATTTTCCACGTCAAAGTTTTGACTTTTTTAAGTGCTTATCATGACATTAATAAATTATAATTTAAACGGTGTACATTTCTTTCCCCTCCATACTTATACTAATTTATTATTTATACCGAACATGTTTTATACTTTGTATATATTTTCAAACAATAAATCATTACGTAATAATATGTTTCTTTGTGATTTTTTTGAGTGGTTTAAATAGAAATAAAAACCTACGATAACGAAGGAGTGGTGAATTTCTTTCTGCTCGTAAACGGTAAGTCGCTTAATCCGCCACTGCTAACCGTTGATAGTGTTCCGAAGAATAGTTACAGTGTCCGGAGAGTGAAAATACTGTATGATCTAGTTAGTACCTATGACAAACCACGGTGGGCCCAAATGATGCGAGGGTAAAAAACCACCGATGAGCGGATGAGAAAGGTGTTAAGTTTAAGAGCATATGCCGTACGCCTTATGTGCTGTCTCCGTCATAGCAAAAACGTCCTTACGCAGAGTAGAACTGGCTTAATTTCGGTTTTAGAGCGAAAACACCTGATGAAATATTGAAAAAGGACAATGTTTTGGAGGTTTTGACGAAGAGTGAGTGTGTGACAAAGTACTTCAAAGTCCGATGACAAAATGTCCACGGGATCAAGCATATTATATTATGTATACCGAGTGAACTGACTACGGGTGACGTTACATTCGAGGCGGGAAAAACTCGTGCGTTCAAGCGTTGGTTGTCCGGCATACAGCTAAACAGAAAACCGAAAACTTCAAAAAAATAAAACAACCGTCACATCGACGACCGAATGTGTTGCACCTATAAAAAATAAAAAAACTCGGTGGCTCGTTCGCGGGTTGTGGGTAGACGACGTGGAGTAAACGCATATACACACACGCGCGCGATCACAATGGACCAAGAAAGCCGTTCCCAGTTTTTTTTTTTTTTTTTTTTTTTTTTTTTTTAATAGCTATACTTTCTAGCGCATACAAACATTTTTTTTTCTCGAACGGCTCTCGCGGACGGACGGACGGACGGACCCGTCTTTAAAGAAGAAGTTTTAAAGAAGGAAAAAACGAAATAAAAAACAAAAACGTAAAAAAAAAAAAAAAAAAATACGTGTCATATAATATAAATACTAAAGGTAAAAGAATCCAGTGGAGAACGGGCGGCGGGCGGAGAATCCACACGGCATCGCCGTCGCGTTTGTGTAGTGCCCATCTCGCTCTACCCCGCCGCTACCTGGTCGGGTACTTACCGCCGCCGTCCGCCGGCCCGCCGACCGAAGACAGTGGCCGCCGGACCGTGCGCGACGGTGTCCGCACGGTGGCACGCATTATGTTAAGGGACGTTTTTTTTTCCCGCCGAACACGTGAAATTCGGAAATTATTTTCGACATTTCTAACGGCCGCTTCCGGCGCCGGTTTTCGAATTTTTTCTAGGGCGGGATGATTTGATATTGACGCCCACGGTTCGTTGATCGTATAAAAACTGTTTACCCGATATTCGTTAATTTAATCTCATCTATGACTTTAATACCTATTGTTTCTTTACTCATCCGCCATACATGAATGCAATTGTCACTATAATCAACAACAAAGTTTAATTTGATAATTATAACACGGAATCTACTTTTCGTAGTCTAAATTCAGTGTCCAGACCCCTGGATTCCCTCGTAAAACCGCCACTGGCCGTTTTCATCGTTGATCTAGAGGCGCGATACACGTTTAGGGGAAGGGGTACGGCCGTTTTTACGGACCAAAATGACTTAGGTAATGCGGGATTGTCAACATAATATTTACTTACCATTTATTTTTTTTATAAGTTGTTTTAGTGTATAAACAACATTATGCAGATTGAATTGAACTCCAGGTTTTTCAAATAACGGTATGCTTATAAAAAAAATTAAAAAGAGCTGATACCACTGATGGGTGCGCCACTGTTGTAGCCTGTAGACGCCGGAAGTTGAAAAAAGTATAATACATAAAGTTAATTTTTATCGTAACTATAACTTTTTTATTTGATCGTTATAAGTACAATTTATACTCAACTCAATCTAACCTCTTGTTAAATTGTCAACCGTTTCCGTGTGGCCGAAAATTGTTGGAGCAAGATTTCTGGTATAACAGTAGTAAAAAATATTATCGCTACACGCTCAGAACCTAAACCGAGGAAGTCGCTTATTCCTCGCTTCAAAAAAAACAAATAATAATAATAATCAATACCAGACCGCTCTACGAGGCATTAGAATTTTGTCCGTAAGTCGCGTTTTCGAGCCAAAAAACGCGCTGGCACCGGAGGTAACCTCTTTACCGCGACCGGGACGAGAATCCGAGGACGACGACAATTGCGACGGGTTTGAAGAAAAATACATAAACCGTTGCCGCGTCGGCTATTCAATAACGAACGTATACACGCAGAAGACCATATTATTATTATATACACACGTACGTATTTACATATGAAAAAAAAAAATGAATAACCGCGTGTGCGTGCGTGCGTACTTGTGTACCTAATACCTATACGGGCTCAACGAACCTTGTACAATTGTACCCAGGTATACACAATAGTATACGTGAACGGGCGCAGGACACACCACCCTCGACGATACCTTACCGCGGTATGTCGCAGCGTCCACCGGTGTCGTCGCCGGGAACGCGGCTGAAAGTCCAGGAAAGCGAACACTCCGGTATGTCGGTTTTCGGCGGTTGAAACGTCGACATTACTCTCCGAAAATCGAAAAAAAAAACGGTTCAACGGACGTACAGAAAGCGACAGTGAGTTGCGATGTCCGAACACACCAAACACTCCAAACGCAATCTGACAACCGACCGTTGCTGCGCGGTGATCCTAAATAGTACCGAGTTTAAATATTCGACCGTGAATCATCTATTTTTTTATGTATAACGAAAAATCGATTTATACAAAAACAGAGAGGAAGAGCCGTAACAAGACCTTTCGGCTGGCCACACAAAAATGTCTGCTCTAATATTGCTCTAATTCCGATAAAATTGTTTATTGTGTATGGATTTCGGATTCTGCGCCGAGTGAAACACTTTGTCTCACCCAATCTTTCCAAGCCGGGTTAGAGCTACGGCTCCGGTGTTTTACACGGGACACGTTAAAAGTTTTGCATATTTTTCGCTCGGCAGTATTTTATCGGGGACGTTTTTCGATATTTCCAACAAGTTCATAAGTGTATTAAAATACGCTTATACACGAAAACGCCTATACGTCATGTCGCGATCTCGCTTTTCGATAAAGTCGTTATTTCTTTTGCTGCCGTGAGTGTCGCTAACGAAATCGCGTCTCAAAAGTTTTAAATTTGAATAATTTCGTCGTCGGACGCATCGTTAACCGTCGTCGTTTTCGTCGGGTCTCGCAAAAACTGTAAACTTTTTAACACGGGAAAACGTTATTTTTACAGTACCGGAATTTAAATGCGACGGGGAGTATATAAAACGCGGTTATGCGACGTCGTATCGGACAATTCAATAATATTATCCCGAAAAACGCGTATTATAAGCCCACTCAGTTAGTGTTCTACCGGATAGTCGGACAAAATTCCCCTCATCGCCTCCGCGGACTCGCTAAAATCGAATCGTGACGCGCGAAAAACACACACAGTGTTCGGAATTATAACATCGACGGTCGATGAAACACGGTTAATACCTGACCTATTAAAAACAGTCCGAATATTCGGCCTATTCAGGTAAGTTTAGAGGAGTGTTCGTGAGCTGTCTTTATTAGCGAAACTAACGCGGTCTTTGCAGAGAAAAAAATCGCTTCTCGTGAGGCGGTTGCTTAATATGAAAATAACCAAATATCACAGTACCCACTCGTTTACTAGTGATTTTGTTAAAATAGATGAAAGCGTCGAGATACGTTGGGGAATGTCGGGGAAAATCGGCGGACGGGCATTGGGGGTATAGACCGAAAGTCTCCACATATCGAATGAGACGCAATTAATTCGGTATTTCCCGTGAACAAACGAATAGGATCGTCAGCAAAGTGTGCGTTCTGCGCATACCAAGTGCTCTTCATATCTACCCCGGACTTGGAATGAACGGACGAAAACCGTGTGAAAAAAGAAGTCAACTGCGGACTAAGATAACATCGAACCGGACGCGGCGAGATAGGTGCGCGGTGCAGGAATAGTCATCGAATAGTAATAATAATAATAATTTATTGGCCAAAAAGAAAGTACGATTTTTCATTAATTAATGATTGTATATATATATATATATAACATGGTTAGATGGCCCATCTCACCACTGAGGATAACCTCTTATCGGTGTTGATGGAGTACTATTAAGAGCTAAGTTTGTATACGTTTAAAAATTACACTTATAAACTGTACTTCAAAAACATAAATAGGCATACATATAGAACTAATTATTAATTAAAACTATAGTTACTAAAGTATAAATTGCAATAAATAAATTTAATATAATAAAGTACATAAAAAATCGAATAGATAAATAAATAGATAAAAAGACTACATTATATAGGTACACTGGTATATTACCAAGGGTATAGATCACTAGTATTATTTAACAACCATAATTTCCTAGTTCCTTCCAAGACCGAGGTGCGCGCGCGGTGACGGGTAAAACACGTGTTTTTGCCGACACGTCGTGACCGTTTCGGTCGCGGTACTATAAAACAGCGAACCGAGTACGATGCCGGGTACGGACGGCGCTCTCGGACTGAGCCGAGGTCGGCCGTCTCTATCGGCGACGTGAGATCGAGTCGGGTTATTTTAATCGATAAAATATACGCCGCATGCTGGTGAAAATTCGATTTTTAGGCCGGTTCGACCGGGGTCTTTTCACTGCCCGTGACGCCGTTTCGGGGGTGCCGTCGAAACGACGCGGCCGGTCGTCGTTCGGAAAACCGCGCGCGCGATATCGTGCCGCGGGAGGACGCGCCGAAAACCCGGTAATTCACGCGGCACGGAGCACGACGGCCGCGCGTATCGGTCGTCAGGTCGCGGTGCATTATCTCTCGGCGCGCTCCTCGACCCCGTCGGCCGGGCGGTTATCGACGGGCCGTCGCGACGTCGGTGTTATTTATTTATTTTATTTTTTTTGGCGCGAACGACCGGCGAATCCGGACGAACCGCACACGGAGAGCCGCATGACCGAGCCGCGATACCGTAAACGAGGGCGTTTAACACTCGCGTTACAGCGCGCGCGCGTGTGTACAGTACCGGCCGTACATTATATACACGGCGCGTGTGCGCGCGTGCGTGCGTGCGCGTATATAACGCGGTAACGTCGTCGTCGTCGTCGTCGTCGTGATGCCGAGGGGACGTGTTTGTACGGGCGACACATTTCGGACCGTGTACCTATCTCGATACACGTACACACACACACACACATACACGCGCGTACACGCGCACGCACACTCGCGTTGTCGTTATTATTATTACACTCTCGAGTCGCCGCGTGTGCGTTTTGTGTTCGTGTCGGACGCGCGCGCCCGCGTCGTTTATAACGCGCGATAGGTGTGCGTTTTCAACGGCGTTCCGCGGACCTCCCGTGTAAAAAAAAATGTAAAAAAAAAAAACACCGGCGACCGGTCGCGGTCCGGCCTGTTATATTATTGGCATCGTGTTTAATGCTAACGTGCGCTTACGGCACGCCGACACCGGCGTTGTGTTTTACGTCCGAACGCTCGCGCGTTGCGAACCGTGTGCGATTACCGTCCGCGTGTCGTCGATATTACGGGCGGTGCGCCGTGTACGGATTCCGGAGGGAGTGATGGGAGGTGGGAGGTGGGAAAAAAGGACCCGAAAAAAAAACCCGCCCCGACCCCCGAAATGTCGCCGGCGCGTATTGCATACGCCGCACTTTGGCACGGCCGATTGAAATCGACCATTACGCGCGAACGCGAACGGCTTTTAGATTCCGAGCGCAGCCAGTTGTACGCAATGATATATTGGTTTTACAACGACGGGTTTTTCCCCCCCCCCTCTTTTCTCCGAACGATTTTTCCCCCGGAAATTTCGCACCGATTTTCGTGTGTGGAAGTGTACCGAGTACCTATACCGAATAGAAATCACGTAAAACGCTCGCGAAATTTAAATGTCTATAAATATGGCTCAAAATGGCTTGAATATCGTTAAAAAAGTAAATTCGAAGTTTCGGTCGAAATGTCTTGTCTACGAATATTTTTAGTGAATTGCAACAAAAAAACAAAATTGAAAATAATTAATGCATTGTTTTCCAGGTTTTTTCCGATTATTACGAAAACCGCTCGCAAAATCGAAAAATTACTTTTCAAGATACAATTTTATTTCAGAAAAAAACCTACACTTGGTACATCGGAATAAGGTTTTTGGTAGTAAAGTTGTTCACAGTATACAAAAAAAAAAAAATTTAAATATTAACATCGTTGTAAAACCAATACATTCCTCGGTACGCTCCAATTCTAAAATTATGCTAAACAATACAGAACAACACATAGAATCTTACAGCGCTTAAATTTATTATGACAACGTTTTTATTTTTTGCTCTACTAAAAACTCGTAACTATAAGACAAATTGTAAAACAAAAATGAAAAATAAGTCTTCGCGGACGCAAGCACGCCCGGTGGAGAACTCATTATTCTATGAAATTAATTAAAATAATAAAAAAAAAAAAAAAAAAAATGATATAATAACACTGAGATGTCACAACGGTAATATTTTTTACGCAAATTGTTTCCGCGTTTCGTTGTATAACAACTAGAGAATGTTTTTCAGTTCTACCGATGTTACCGGGACGTGTTTCAACAATAAAGCCAAACGATATTTTCCGAACGACAACAGTAACGAGCATTGGCAACCGCATACATACGTACATATATTACGATTACGTTACTTCAGCTTAAAATGCCATATGTTACATACATTATTGTCCCCGTGAAACGTTGGTCGAACATCGTCTATACGTGTGTGTACGATCCCCAGTTGCTATAGCACAAGCAGCAGATATCATATCAGTAATCTAGTTTACTCTATTCGCCGTTGCGATTGCGATATACCTACCCGTATAGGTGGAGGGTGTAAACCAATTATCGAATTGGAAAAGTAAAAGAAGAGGCACTGTGAAATTTAAACACAAAATTAACGTCGTTTGTAATTATTCGACTCGGCCTAACCGTTGAGAGGCGTTTCGCCCCGACACCCCCTTCGATACACCGTTTTATCCCGCGGTCAACGTGTTTGCGCACATCGCGTTGATTTATGTTACGCATTTCAATAATATAACAATAGCAAAATTCTAAACGAAAAATGTACAATATTGAATATACACCCGAGTTTAAAACATGCATTTTATATACGACTTGACATTATGTGCTAGTTAATAATGTTATTATTCGCCAAAAGAACGAATGCCCGTCTCGGTCCTCGGTAATAGAAATAATTGAAAAGAAGACGCTAAAAAAGTTGAGGGGAGGGGAATAGGAAATCTGTTCCCCTGCGTCATCTCCTCTCGATTTGAGCGCTGGGCGTACAGAATGAATTACGGACGAAAAGTCCGGGGACAAAAAGTCCGTTTTAAAAAAAGTTGGACAAAAAGTCCGGATTCAGTTATTGTTGTCGGACAAAAGGTCCCGAACACATTTTTAGCGTCAGACAAAAAGTCCAAAAGTACAAAATATTCTATTAGATTATCATTTACAATTATATAATGTATTACATAGGTATATTACTATATACAATATAAGTATGCAATAATATATAATTAAAAATGTTTGCGCATATATATAAAATATATTGTTATATTTGTTTTTAATCGGTGTTTTTTTAAAACAATGTTAACCCCGGTCGGAAAAAAAAACAATGTTAAACGGATTTAGGGATTGTATCGTTATATCCGCAGTTTGTCACAAGAAGGTCCGATGTCTTAAAAAAAAAATTCGGAAATAAATCAATTTGTCAATTTCTTTTAAAACGATTTTTGAGCGTATGGAAGAATGCATTGATTTTACAACGATTTTATTTTTTCCTCTGTGATCAACTTTCCTGCCGGTAATCGTGCTCCGATTTTCAAATGTGGTACATGTTCTGAAATGAAATTCAATCCGAATGGCGCGCAAAATATACGTAAGTACGTACACGCATAAAAGAAACTTCGCTCCGGATCGTTTTTCGTCAGCGTCGGTTCGTCTCCGCGTACACAGATGTAAATCAAACTTCCCACTACACCGTCATACGGCCTCGCCGACTTCTCACCTGCAGCAGTGGCGGCCCGGTGGCCCGCCCGTCGCGCGCAGTGTTTTCGGGTTTTTTTTTCGTTTTTGTCGACGGTCGTTCTTTGCCGCGGCGCACGGTACGTTTTATGCGCGCGAGCGGCCTGGTTGTTGTTGTTTTTTTTTTTTTATTATTATTATTTCACGTATCCGCGATATCCGAACCGCCGAACAACGCGAGCGAGGGGACGAAACGGAAAACAGAAACGTCAACCGCGGCGTTTCGACACACGGCAATAACGCGCGACGGGAGGCGCGGGGCCGCGCGGAGGCGGCGGCGGCGACGACGACGACGATGACCTCAGGTGGCACACAGGCTACCGGCCAGGCGTCGTTCTATTTACCGCCGCCGCCGCGACGGTGTACGCGCGTACGTATGACGCGCGTACATAGCGAATTCACGACACGTAAAACATATTATTATACAGGGTGTGCGTGCGTGCGTGCGTGCGTGTGTGTTTCGCGCGGTTAATATTTTATAGGTACGCCTAGGCGAACGCGCGCGCGCGTGCGTGCGTTTCGCCATTGTTCCGCCGTCCGCGCGCCACGGAACGATATCGTATCGCAACAGGTATCCGCGGATTCCGCGCGGACCCGCGCGGCGTCCGTGCCCGTGACGCTCAAGCGCTACACGACAATGTACGCGCGTTTACCGTGCCGGCATGCGGCCGCGCGCGCGTGTGTACCCGCACGCGGGCGCCGACGGCCGTCCGTGCGCGCCCGTACCGCAATAACGGCGCGTCACGTACGATAACACGCCGCGGCGGTGCCGTGCGTGCGCGCGCGTACCCATTAGATTTTCGGCGTTTTTCGTCCGTCCGTTCTGGGGGTTATTTTCGTGTGGGTCGTTTTTTCTACTTTTTTTTTTTTTTTGTCCCGTCTCCCCCCCTCCTCTCCCCGCGCAGTCGCCCGCCCCGGCCGGAGACCGGGGAGTTACGGCCGAGACATGACCGTAACAATGGGACGCGAACGTTCGGCAACGGCGGCGGCCCCGAAAAACACAATGATTCGAAAAATCAGCTGCCCTTGCGTCGCGGCCGCTGCCGCGGCCGCGCGCACTGTCGCCCGGGGTAAAAACGTACACAACAATAAAATGTTATTGCGTACTATTATTATTATTATTGTCGTCGTAAACGCGCGCGCGTACCCGTGCGTCGTGCATAACGTGTTAACGCGACAATAATAACAACGACATCGCGTATAAAAACGTTTCTCGATCCGCGCGGCTCCTATCGCGTACCCCGTCGCGGTGTCCCGCGGTACGCGCCTACGCGTACCGCGGGTCACACTGCCCGCCGAGAGGGACGAGCGGCCCGGGCTCGACGGCGGTGTTGGCCGTGCCGTTGTACTGGCGTTCGGAACGCGTAACTAAACACTCGCGCGTTTCTCGTCTCCGGCCGTCCGTCCGGTTCGCTGCGGACCACCGCCGCCGCGCGACGCTTCCCCTCTCGTCGCCCCGGTCCGTATTATTGTGACTGTTGTCCTCCACGGTCGCGTCCGGCGTTGAATTCCGGCGCGCTCCGCGGGGAAGCGAACGTCCCGCACCCGCCCGCCCCATTTGGAATTTCGTTCGCTTCCCTTCCCGCCCGACGGCAGCGAAACGCATCGGCTGACACACGGCACAATACTCGCGACCCGTTACGTTTCGCACGTAGAAATAATCAATGAAAAATAAAAAAAAAAAAAAGCGAGAGACCCTCCCCGTAACAACGATTGTCCGCGTCGATTCGAAACCCCGTCCGCGGTGTTCGTCTTCCGATGTGGCCTCCAGCGTGTCACCGTCCACATGGCCGCTGAGGCCGCACTGTCAGTGATACGATTTCTATCCCGAAAAACCCTATCTACTCGTGCCCCGCAGCCTGACTGGGACGGATTTAGGACCCTCGCCCGAAATTCACAGTGTGCGGCAATTTTTCACGAGAGAAAATGTGATATAATACGTGTTGCGCGGAAACTAATTGATTGCGTACAAATATATTTTGGGGACGCGTGTTAAAGTGGAAATTCAACGAACGGCGAAGAATGCTCAAATATTCGAGTATAACGATTTCAAGGTGAAGAACGAAAAAAAAAAAAAGAAAAAAAAAAACTCATTTTCCCAACAATTACATAATTAGATTTTTGGAGGTACCGCATGTCCAATTTTTTGTAGCGTAGTATATGAGTGATGGTTTTTTTTTTTTTTTATCCTCGGGAACACAGCTGTAGTCCGTCACCGTTAACTGGTTTAAAAACCGGACGACAACGCGCGTTTTTACGCCACCGACAATATAATAAAACTTTTCACCCCTTTTTTTTTTTACCCGCCGCCGCCGACACCGACAACGATCATTTCGAGTTTGAACCGCAATAAGCCGACGTCGTATCCAAAGGGGTGAGATAATATAATAATAAAATGAAATATAAAAAAAAAAGTCTTCGATTATATAGTCGCAGTTAACTTGTATTATAGAAAATAAATTCATCTCGTCGAGTTAAAAATAATTGAAAATATTACTGGAAAAAAAAAAATCATATCTAACGGTAAAAACGTGTTAAATAATATTATTATAGGTACCGATTATGAATTTCAGTAAGTATTTGAATTTCGAAAAAAAAAAAAAACCTAAACTCGTCGGTATTTGTTCGTTTTCAACTCATTTTAATAGTGTGCAGTAAGGTTGGGTCATTTAGGCTCATTGACGCGTCCACAACGTCTCAGCTCAATTCCGTTCTGCACTCCTGAAGACACTTTTATAAGACCGCCTTTGAATCGATTTTCCCAAGACGTTGTCTTCGGGTCTTCCCCTCCGTCGTACACCTACTTAAACCGCGATTTCCATTTCGTGACTGCGATCGCGTATACAATACAATTCCGGCCCTCCGCTCTCCACATATACGTGACCGGCCCACGTTATTCTCTTTGCAAACTCTTCAGTATATTGTATTAGGATGGTTAAATAAAGCGACGACGCACTTATAATAATATTAGATTCTGAACGAACCGATAAATGTATTAGTTTTTACTATGGCCTGTTTTATTTTGTGATGATGTGTGTGTGTGTGTGTGTGTGTGTGTATGTGTGTGAACAACTTTTCAACCAAAAATCTCGGTCCAATCGAAAAACAACAAGAAATAAGCTTTTTCGCAGCGTTTAGAATCTATTTGGTGGTCTGTTCGGTGTTTTATGCGATTGTTTAGGCGGAGCAGAATATCCGACAGGTTTACGCGGAAGGGTAATGCGATAATTTTTTCGCAAAAACTTCGTAACTACCGCGACGTCGCTCGGTCGTATTTCGTTATTGTAACGATTGTTTTACCGTTGTTGGCGTACAACGAAATAATTCTACGTAAAATGTACGCGTATCCGATAAACCGTCCCGGCTTCCCACCTGCGACAGCGGCACACCCATCGGCGGTACCGACTGTTTGTATTTATTTGTATTATTTTTTTTTTTTTTTATTTTTTTTTCTCAACTATCAACCGGGACCGCACGACATATTTATAATAGGCGTGCGGATCGCGCGGTGCACGCGTTTCGGGACGGGAAACGACGACGATGACGCAATACGATATCGCCGCATCCATTGCGGTATATTACGCTATGATAATAATACAATAATAATAACGTGTACTTACCTCCGGAACGTACGTACGTATAATGATAATGCGAACGGCGGCGTCGTCGAGAGATCTCCAAAACGGTGAAACGGATGTGGTACGGGCCGTCGAAAACAATCGTCGTGGGCGTCGATCCTCCGCCGCCGATGATGCTGCGTGCACAGAGATAATCCGACGACGGTGCCGTCGCGGGTATATTCCCACGTCGTCGTCGTCGTCGCCGCCGCCGCCGCCGCCGCCGCCGCCGCCGCCGCCGCCACGGCGCGTGTTTTTCTATTTTCTCGACTAATTTTCTAGGTTCTCGCTTTTTTCTACGCTATATATACGCTATGTATATATTATATAGACGCCAACAATAGGCAATAATCGTTGGAGCCCGGATTCGTATGCACGTGCATGGTTGTTTTTTTTTTTTATTTTATTTTTTAGACGGTCCAAAAAGTAGCCGGACAGGCTACAAGTTTGTTGAATATTACACGGTCGACAGAAGCGAAATAGAAAGTTTTATTTTGCATGTTTTTGCATATTTTTTTGACATGTACTGCATACTCGTATTTCTGTATTTTACGATTTTGCATTGCGTATTAATGGTTTTTTAAAAATGCGTAATATGCAATATTTTGGTTATATTTGCATTAGTTCGAAAACAATGATAGAAATAATAAAAATAAAATCATTTTTTTTTTTATTTAATCAAATTTGTTGTTTCCGTATATTTTTATTTAAAAAAAAAAAAAAAATATTCAGATTGTAAAATTTCGAAAATACTATTACGAATCAATCATTTGTACCTACTTAACAAATGTTAAAAACCATTTTTTTCTTTTCTGAAAATCGAATTTTTCGTGCTTATTTTTTATTATTTTAAAGGGCATATTTCCACAAAATAAGATCGTGGATGCTTATTTTATAGTGCAAATTTCTAAAGTTTTTGGAGCGTATAAATCCGAGGCCTAGTAGTAATACATAAGACGCGTTACTCCTAACGCGGGAGACCGTTTATATTCGTCACCGCCGAGTATAATACCAACTCTTATATTATTATCACACACTCAATATTCACAACGATTGTTTTCCAGACATGTTAAATAATATTCTCCGGACACTACACCGGTTTATCGTTCGGCCGGCACCCGGGTCACCTGCACCTTCCGCAGGTGACCTGCAAGAGTCAAGGTCCTGATGCAGTGCGCCTCGAGAAAACCGTTTTTTTTTTTTTTTTTTTTTTTTTTCGTTTTCACCGTTTACGAAATACGCTTCGGTAGCCTAACCATGGGATTCATAATTATAAATATCCGGTACTCGTATATCGCCGCAGGACATTTTCGTTTAGTGAATATCCGCTGTGTGGCCCGTATCGGTCCCTTAAAACAGACAGACCGGAGGACCGCCGGCTCGACTTTTGGATTTTACCCCTGCAGTTATCCCTGTCGCCACCGATGTTGTTTGCCGTATTATAACACGCGTACAATTTAAACGCCTATACAAGTGAAAATCTCTCTCTACTGGGCGTGTCCACGTGGACGCGAAAAATGGATGTATTAATATGATATTTAGTGGCGAGCCGACGAGACAATTTTTTTCGATAACCGCGACCGTTCGGTAATAACGGTCCGGTATCGCGACGCGCGTATCGCGAAACGCCGAAATCACAGGACCGTGTCGTCGTCGTCGTCCCCACCACCCTCCCCCCTCCCCCGCCATTATGTATTCCGCAAAGACAGTAATGTTATAGAATTTGCCGGCATAGTCGCCCGCGGCACTATTAAATACCTATAACATATTGTAATAATATTAATAACGATAACGTGCGGACCGCTCTGTATATCAGCTCCGCGACCCCGCCCGAATAAACGTGTGCAGCCCGCGGTATATAAAAAAAAGAAAAAAAGTGTTGGTTGTATAGGTGAGTGCGTACACGTATACATAATACTATTACGGAGAGAAAAAAAAAAAAAAAAAAAAACGTAATATAATATAATAATAATATTATTATTATCCGAACGGGCGTATACCATAACGTACCATCGTATTATTATTATTATTATATACCGTTTGTCCGGTTAATTTTTTTTTTCTCCCCCGTCCTCCGAAACCGCAGTCGTGGGCGACTCGTTTTTTTTTTCTTTTTTTTTTTTTTATTGTTACACGTTATTATAAGCATACTTAATACGAAATATTTAATACGCGCGCGCCGCAAACGTTTACGGGGAAATTTTGTTTTGTTTTTTTTTTTTTTTTTTATTGTTTTTCGCACACCTACAATACGCCGCGGCGCGCGTTATGATTGTCAGCTCGCCGCAGAGAGTGCAGCAGCAGCGTACGTGTTTGCCTATATATCATTACGATACGTCTGGGCGTATAAAAATGTTATTATTACCATTATACGCATTTACCCGCGCTCGTACGGTGCCATTTCGGCGCGCACTTGTTAATTATAAATATTAAAACGGAAAAAAAAAAAAAAAAAGAAAAAAAGACAATGGACGTTTGTTGTCTACATTGTTTACCGGGTCTAGTTATACCTGCGTTTCGGAGTGTTTCCTTGTCGTTTCCTCTGTCGAGCGTAATATTATATTATACATTTTGTCGGCGAGCGATAGAAAATAATAATAATCGGCAAAGTATAATGCACACACACACACACACGAATAATATTGTAATGTTCATTAGTGTTAATAATATATTGTTTTATACGCAGGTATGTACGTGTGTATCGCTGAACGTTGTTAGAGTATTTGCGGTGCAACGCGCAGTGCGACACCGCGTGTCGTGAACCCCTGGGAAGGACACTGACGCAACTAAAAACAAATGCGATTTTCGAGTTATCGCCGTCGAGCAATGCAGAATGCCGTCCTTTATAATTTAGCGTTCTCGAGTTTTTTTTCAATTATTCAATGCTGTGATGAAAACCGCACGAATTCAAATGTCTTTACATCTGCTTATCAACAAATAACAATAGTTTCCGGCCCGAATATTGGACACTTACTGACGTTATTCCAGCCCGAAGAACGTCGTCACGATGTCGCGTCGACCGAGAGTTGTGAACGCGTATTGAAACGCGTATTATGATTATTTACGTCCGCCAAGTATAGTGTGTCGTATTCTCATCGGAAAAGGACAAAACGTAAACGGCAAACTGATTCCCGGTCGTTTTCGTTAAAAAATAACGTTTGTTCGGTACGTTCCCCGCGGGGGGTATTTTCCCATGCTTTCTAATTGGGTCAAATAAATAAATATTTAGACGCACTCGTAATAATAATAATATTATCATCGTTATTGTAATTTTTTCGGTTGATTTATTCAAACGACCTTCACACTCACTCGCGCGGTATACGAGACCGAATAAATAAATAAATATGTGTATATATATATATATATATTGTAACGTTTTCGGAATACATTAAAAAAAAAAAAAAAAAACGACGACGACGACGACAATATAATATAAAGTATAATAATATGTAATAATAATCGTTTTTTTTTTTTTCTACTCGATTTCGTTTGTTTTTTTTTTTTTTTTTTTTTTTTTTTTGGTTTCTTTTTATTATTTTTTCACCGCCCTTCGCGCACCACCCCGAATCATACTCGACCGCAAATGTATAAAATAACATCGAGAGCGTGTCCAGAGGAAGGGGTAGTTTCGTTGTTGTGACGCGAACGGCGACGGCACGCGAACTGTGACCGCAAATCGCTTTTATAAAAAAAAAGAAAATACTAAAAAAAATATTATTGTTATTTTGCGAAAATTTACCGGCGGGCGGGCGCGTAAGAACGACGGGTTCAGGGCCCTCAAAGCCCTCCCGTTACCTTTCGATTTTTAGACCGTTGACGGTCCATATAAATATTATACGTATATGAATATATACGTAGGTGCCAATCGGTTTTATCGAATCGAAAGCAAGTCTGCTTCTTCATTATGCGTTTACTTTATTCGTTCATTTTTTTTTTTTTCCATTATTTCGTTTTTCCTAGCCCCGAACCCGCGAAGAAATCCCGCGCGCCAGCCTGTTCGTCCGTATCGGTCTCCGGAAAAACAAAACGAAAAAACCACCCCTTCCCACGCGGAGACCGCGGCGACAGTTGAAAACGCGATTTTTACAGCGGCTGTACACCGCGACAGAGTGACCGCACACGCACACGCACATAAATAATGTGCCGTACACGCATGCACGCAAACGCACACGTTTGCAAACGCATTACACACACATGCGCGCGGTTATAATATGCACGACGACGTGACGCATTGCGATGCGCGTACAGAGCGGTGCGTTTATCGCGGACCGATACAGCGGCGGCGCGTACGCAGATTACGTTTCGTATAACTTTCATTTTTCCGCTTCTCCCGCGGACATACGAGCACGCTGTTGAAATCGTTTTTATTTACCTGCCACGCGTTTTTCGGCATTTTAATCCCGTTCCGTATGAGTACACCGCCAACACCCTAGGCGTACATGGCTATAAAGGGACTAGGGTGACGGGAGCAACTGCCCCCGGGGTGCTGAAATTGTAATTTGCCGCCGTATTTTAATAGGCGGCTATTTTCGAGGTAAACGCGTACAATCCATTAGCCTATAGACGGATCCCAGACAGAGCCCGCCCGAGGGGACGTCGAATTTTAACGGTAACCGTCGGACACCGTAAACAATTTACTATCTTTTCGATTTCATTTTCACAATAAAATGGAATGAGAATAGATCCGATTGTGTAGGTCAGTAGGTCTAAGGGTAAAATAAGGGAAAAATAGAGTTTTTTTTTTATTATTAATAAAGAACGGGAAAAATGTTAAATAAATTTATCCCGTCGACTTAATACGGGAACGAAATCTGAACATGCTACGATAAGACGCTTGTTCAATCGATAAACACATATAATATACGCTCGTATCGACCAATATTTTTTCCCGTTCGATTTTCGATCGAAAAAAGAATATTTTTTGTTTGAAAAAATGTTAATAATATAGAAAGGACTATATATATATATTAATTTGAACCGAATTATCAATTTTTTTTTTTTTTTAGCAAATATTATTCATCTTTTCGAATAGGAAAAATGATATTGTAAATATATTGTTATTATAATACACGAGAATAACGTAAAAATAACCGAGTCGACAAATCGTCTCGAAATCTTATTTGACGAGATCACGCGGTGATGGAATACGTTGTGTCGTGTACACGGAATCGTCCCGTATGTTTTTACGGTGCCGCGACGACCGTACGCCGCCTCCCGTTATTGAAAAAAAAAAATGATATTCGGCAGAAAAGTAGGGGGAGGGGGACGGGAGGAGGTAAATATGAAAAATAAGAGAAATCCCGCGGGCCGGTGCACATGTCTCGAAATCGTTGTTGTATACTACACGTTCTCGAGACGAGCAGGTGTATGCTGAACGACTTGCACCCGATATATAATATTATCGGTAAGTGTACATTTATAATAATATTTCGGACGCATAGGGGGCCAGTGGTGTCAGCGGTGGCGAAAAGAAAAAAACCGCCCGCGATCGTGACCCGCGCGTTAATACGGTGCATCAGGAGCAGGACACGTATAATTTCGATGTTAATTTAACGTTTTCTCTTTCCGGTGAAGGAAGAAAATACACCGCGCGTTTGTTATTGACCCATTAAAAATCCGTATAAAACGTTAGGTTTTTTTTTTTTTTTTGTTTTACAACCGTGCAAGTATATAAAATATAACGCAAGCGTATAATTACTCTAATAACGAGTATATTTAACGTAATAATTTATATAGTTTTCAGCTGCTATATTTATGCGGTCCGCGTTTTTCCCGCCTCCCTAATCGCCGCGGTATCTGTCTTCACCCCCCCCCTCCCTGTATTGTGCGCGTACAGGATGTCCCGCGGAGGCGCGCCCCGCTCTCTCGTCCGTCCGTACGAACGGATTAACGGGCGCTGCACAGCGTCTTCGCGGAACAACCTGTACGTAACGAGCGTTTTGAATACGCGACCGGCGAACAGTAACGACCGGACCGTTCGCGGTACGTCGCGATCGCGCTGTACGCGTCGCGCTGCGATAGCCCGTCGGACGTCCCGCCAACACCCGGCCGCGGCCTCCCCTCCCCCCACCCCCCCGTGACGGCAACCCTATCCGCGGTTATCGGGCCCGAATCGATTGCGGCGCGCACGGCACTACATAATATTGTAATATACAGCGCGTTGCGAAACACCCGTCCGCACATCCGCTCCGCGCGCGCGCGTCACGTTATAATGTATAACACGCATATTTGTTCGCTAAATACAAATGGACAAACAGGAGCTCGCGCGGGCGTTATGTGGGCCGATTGGCTCGCGCGTGCCGATAGCCGGGGCCCGTTTTCGCGAATGAAACGAAATCCGACGCGCGATAACCCGGAATTCGTAAAGTGCGCCGGCGTAGTGACTGAAGATCGTATAATTTATAGCGGATATTCAAGCGTTCTTTTTAAAAAAAAAAAAACAATAAATAATAACTACTCGCTAGGTTCAAGAACGGCGGTAAAAAACGAGAGAGTACGTTGTATTTAGGGTCGAGAGAGAGCGCGGGTGTGGTGCGAGCCCCGCGGAAAATCCAAATTGTGGTTTACGAAAAGGAAGCGTTGTTCGGTTTATTTTTTTTTTTTGTGAGTTATTCACGGCGTTTTCCGTTTTAAACGTTTCCGCGCGTAATGCGTTTCCAGAGCGTACGCGCACGAATATCGGAACTTCCGATATCTGTCGTGTGATATAATACATATAATACGATAACGGTCGCATCGTGTCATAGTGCATAGTTGTTTATTGTGCAGCGGTTCTCGACCTTTGCGCGCCCGCCGCCCAAGATGTTTACCCGATTTTATCGCGCGACCTTTTTGAAAACAACTCTCAACTGGGTACCCGCCCTACCTAACCCGTTCAACCGTCCAATTACCCGCCGCGACCAAACGAGACTGTACAAGACGTACGACTGAACGAGCAGCGGGCACGTCGCGAAGTCGACAATGTTGATGATGTTGCGGATACCGGGACAAATGCGAGTCGACGGTTCGGCGAATTCAATCGTTTCCGGGAATGTCAACGGATGTCAATGGGTGTTTAACGAGCGTTGGACGACCGTGGCGGTCCGAAATCGCGAATTTACACTCGTACGGGTGACGGGTTTGTCGAAAACTGTTCTGCACGGGTCCGATTGCGCGGGTTAGATTATCGGGTTCGAAACGAACGGACAACGTGCCGTCGACCGTTTTAATCTGTCGGCGGCCCGTGCGGGACGCTATCCCGCGACTCTGTGGGACGGACGAGATGACGGCCGAGACGATAACGTTCCGTACGGTTCCCCGCGAGGCGCCCGGGGGGTCCGTGGTGGACATCGCGTGCCGGTACGCGGTCCGGTGACACGCGCGCGCACATACCGAAAATCGTTGTGCTCTTCTGCGGCGGCCGTGCGCGCGCGCGCGTACGAGCAATCGAGGGCGTCGCGGACGTCGCGGGAATCCCTTTCGTCGGACAGACGGCCGGCCGCGTTATGACGGGTACACGAATACGAGCGCCCACAGACGGACCGTCGTGTATTGTCGGTTTTTTTTTTCTTTTTTTTGTTTTCCGGAGAACGACCGACACCGAGTTTTCGTGACCCGTCGAGAACCGAGCGAGGCCCGCAATAAATACACGCGCGACGAAAGGAAGAGGGCACACGGTGCTCCGTACGGGCGCCGCGACGTCAGGTATACCGCGCGCACGGTCCGCGAAAGGAGAACATCGTCTCACCAATCGTTCCGCCGCGGGACCGGACCGGGCCGGGTCGCGCCCGCGGTCGCCTTTCGTACGCGTCTCACCGCGGGCGCATCGGTTGCGTCGACGGCGGCGGAAAAAAGGGTCCGCGGAGGTTACCGTGCGTTACGCACGCCGCGGACGTCGCGGAGGGACTGCGGTTCCGTTTTTCGGTCGACGGATTCCCGAGCGACGACGCGGACCCGCGCCCCGGGCCCGTCCTCCTCCGACGCGACGACAGCGGCATCAGCGTGTGTAACGATCGGTGCCGTCAAACGCGTTCGCAATAACGCCGCCGCCGTGATATTACGTTATAATATAATAGTGTCGTTATTGTCGTTGCCGTCGCCGTTGTCGTTGTTGTTGTTGTTGTTATTATCGTAACGGAGAAGACCGCGATCGCAATCTTCGCGCGTCGAGTAGACCATCCGACGGCGACGGCGGTGCGCGGATAATCGAAAACCGTCGCGTTTATGACATTGTCGCCGCGCCCGCCGAAAATCAATACGTCAAGACCGCCGCCGTCGTCGGGCCGCATTCGATCGCCGTGCGGGTGGTCCGCGCCCGAAAATAACAACAATAATAACGAACGGAATGTAAAATCGGTCTGGCGAGCGAGAAGAGAAACGGGAGAAAAGTCGATCGGAATCGGGGCCTCCAGCCCCGGCGGGCCAACGCGTCCCTGGCAAGGCGCTTTTCTTTTCCGGGGTGGGAAATCGCGGCGCGGAACGGCCGGGAGCGCCGCGCGCTACAGGACCGTGCGGATTAGCGCGCGTAGCGTCCGTGACGGGACGGCGAGCGAAGAGTTTGATGTGGTAATCGTAACAACAGCTGATTTTACTCGTTTTCGAACAGTCTTGTCGCGGTCGGGTCGCTCAAGGGACGGGCGTGCGGCTTACAAGGGAAAACGCGCACACGTACGCCCGGTTTCGGTTCCGTTTTGACGGCCCTGTCCGCGGCTCGTACCCCGTTATTGACTTCGGGCTCGCCTCCCCGCCCCCGCCCCCAAACGCTGCCGCGTATTATTCGGAGCCGAATGAACCGCCGGAGACCGACGGACGCCGCGTAGAGCGCCGTCGTCTATCGGGCGGTGAAAAAACAAACGGCGGAACAAAAACCGACGACGAGTAGTACACACAACCTAACCCAACCTACACTCGCGCGTTATTCGCCCGCGAAAACGGCCGTGTACCCCCCATTCGCCCCGTGGCGTTCGTCGCATCCGGACGCCGGCCGATTCGGACGTTGACACGTCCGAATGACGGTTTTCGAAACGTGCCGATTCGCACGAATTCGGGACACCGGCGCCGGGCCCTATAAACCGGTGTTTATGATGTCGGATACACGTATTAATCGGACGATATTTTTACGGCACGTCGCCTGTACATTATAATACAGCGGTTACGGTTACAATGTCCATCGTCGGACGGGTCGGAACAGTGCGGCGTTTTGTCCCGACACGCGTGGTATCCCCCTGTTGTTATCGCGATGCATAAATAACTGTCCGAGGTACAAAACTTTGTCGAACGGTTCGGATCGGCGGCTCTTAAACCGATGTTCGCGTCGGGCGTCCCGCGGCGGCTCTGTCGGTAAATATTGACTATGATAGCGGTTGAGATATTTCGCTAGAAAAAAAAAAAAACAAAAGCTATTGGAATCGGAGGTCCGCGGTTTCCGAGTGTTTCATCCAACGGGGTGTTCGTGTGCGCCAAAAGCTCCAGAACCGCCGGACCGGATGAACGCTTTTAATTTATACGTTTATTTCGCGTAGGATAGGTTGAATTGAACACAGTAGTTGCGGTTAAACGAATAAATCACAAAGTCCATTATATAGGCACGGCCATCAACCGTCACGCGGCAATTATGTTTTCGACATCTCGCCGATGCAGCTGTGTTCCGGCGAACCCGGTACACCTGCGTTCTTGTGGCAGCCTTATATTTATACAACGCGCAAAATTATATCTTAGTTTTTTTTTTGTTTTTTTTTTTTATCTAGATGAAACGACGCTCTAGTTGTTTATCTTTGTATCCGTACAGATTTCGTTTCAGTAACATATCATCTCGTTATATCTGAATGTTTTACGGTTTTTCTCGCTGTACACACAATTGTACAACACACGTAATCCCAATCCCAATGGACTTCGGATATCGTGGGAGGGGGGGGGGAGGAAAGTCATATCGGCTCAGCAACGCTTCTGCGTAACAAGGCGTACACCACGGTCGATAGTATAATCATTACACAAACACAACGCGCGGCGTCTAAAAAATCAATTAAAACCTAAACTCTAACAAACGTTAAATAAAATTTAAAAAAATTAAAACAATCTCGCGTATACTCATTTATCTGTTTATTTCACATTATCTCCGCAAGCTACGCAGTACGCGTGCATGTTACAATGTATAACACCAGGATTGCAGAACCACAACGGTACAGACATCGAAAGAGTCGTTGTTTTTAAAAAATCTCTTAGCCGTTAATCGTAATATTGTTATACATTATAGCTGCCATTAGTGTTGTTAGGCCGTCGTATCCCAGGGTGGTTTTTAACGTAGGGAATAATTGGCATGGACATTTTTTTTTTTTTTTTTTTTAAAACGTCCATACGAATACCGACGATCATAATGTAATAACCAATGTCTACTGAAAATCGTACGAGTGTATAAAGACGCGACTTCACGGTCCATATAGGGAAAGAATCTTGAACAGCCGTGTAAGTTCGCATCGCCTTATCGATAATCAGACCGTTTTATTCGTTATGCACAATCCAGGCACTAAACCGTTTTTAGGCGCTTTTCAGCAAATCTAAACCCAAAAATTTGTCGACTCCTACAACACGTATATACAATACGTGTATACATATAAATATGTTTGCCGATTAAAAAAAAATTTGGTTTTTATTTTTTTTCTCGAACAAAACCGTCGGGTTTTAAATACCGCGATAACCTAACCATTTAACGCTCTAAACGATATGCGTGTGTGTTTTTTTTTTTTTTTTTACGTAAACAAATAAAACATCATTTGACCGTCGTAAAAACGAGACGTTTCATAAAGTTCGGATTTTTTTTCCTTTTTTACCGCTGATCTGTATAGTCAACTACTTATACACACATATTACATAGGTAGGGCTGTGAATTTGTTGGAAAGTGCATTTTTTTTTTAGCCGATTGTGAAACGTCGCTTTCTAAGTGCGTAATTTGAATTACGTAACAACAAATTCATTTATGAAACTTTTATTTTGCATTTTTCGACGTTTTCAATTCCTAAGGTAATTTCTTGTACTTTTTAAGCCGTATTTTCCTGTTCAGTTCATTTTCCGGTGTTCGTAATCAAATCCCGCCGGCTAACATTTTTACGCGCGTATTTTTTTTTTTTTTTTTTTTTTGTTTTACACGGGTTTGTTACAGGTAAATATAATAAGGATTCGATAAAATCAAGGCAATGTTAGATTAGTTATTTGCGGGCCTGCCTGATCAGTAACATCGAAATAAATATAAAAATCAAACTAAAAACTGTTTCATGTGCGTTCTTTGAGACATTTAAATGCACGTCTGACGGCATTTCCAAGGTTTTCCACTGTTATTAAATTCACAACCCCGGCAATATGCGATCACCGCGCGCGGCAAACGCGTCATATCACACGGCCGAAATTTCACCGGGATTATTTATTCGTTTTTTTTTATGGAATAACAAATCCCGACTATGTACCGGTAAACGGCGTGCAATGTCATCGTCGATAGAGCTGCAGCCGGTACACTACGGTAGGAAAAATCATTGTAATAATTAACGAATTCGGTTGGTATTTTTTTGTGTTTTCAAATTTTTATTTCAAATCGTTTTTTATATCCCATTTTTTTTTTTTTTTTTTTAAAAGTTTTATACACAACACATATAAATTCAATAAATAATAATAGAAAAAAAAAAAAAAAACATCCAACAGATAATGTTTCTTTTTCTTTTTTGACTTAATTCCTCGATACACATATATATATATATATATATATATATATAATGGTGTTTTTTTTTATTAAAAACATAATATAATATGCGAAAAAACAAAAATGTACACGTTCCAATAAATAAAATGAAAAGTGTAAAATTCGTATA